CAATACTATAACTTATGACTGAAATTGGTAGGTCCTCGCGGCTCCTAGGCATCAACGAAAACTTGATAGGTAAATCTTGAGACTGAAATAACAATAAAAATATCGTAAAATAAAAAGTATTATATTATTATTAATATGATATTTATATCCGTTTCACAGCCATGAATAAGTATCATATGCGTCGTGTCTTTGTCCAATACCATTGATTAAGTAAACCGTTTACTACCTAGTCAATGTCACTACGCACCAACGCACCGTTGAAACGTTTGAAACTATTAGGAAATTATTGCAAGCATTAGCAACAATATCAGTTAGTGTTGCCTCTGCCGAAAGGAGTTCCTCAACACTTCAGAGACTTAAAACCTGGCTTCGTTCCAAGATTACTGACGATAGACTATCAGCATTATGTCTAATTAACGTATATAATAAAATAGATGTTCTAGATCAAATAGATAATATTATTTATGTTTTTGCAAATTCAAAAAATAGACGAATTGAATTTTTATTATAAAAATTGGTGTTTTCTTTTTGTTTAAAAGTTTTGTGGAATTATAACTCCCCCCCCCCCAACCAAGGCTATGGAGCCTTCCCTGTCTAATACTATAATAATATTATAGCAATATGTAAAGTATTAATCGGTTTTGGTTGCAGTACTGTTTGTTTATTTCATACACAGTACATACATTATATTATATTTATATATGAAGTTTAAAAGAAAAAGACCTAGTTGAGTTTTAACCAAAATGTCTACATTAAGTATAAATATATTTTTAATAAAATATCTAAGTCTACAGTAGGTATATATTATACTAGCTGTCCTGTCACGGCGTTGCCCGTGTATTATATAGCTGTACAAAAAATCCCCCTTTTACCCCCTAAAAGTCTAATTTTGAAAAATTCTAAAAAAAAAAATAATAATAATATTTACAAATGATTCTATATACATATTGTTATTAAAAAGATTCTATAGTTAATTATTTAGATTGTGTACCTGGCTATGAACGGCTATAAGTGTAACTCAGCCGATGTACTAAAATTCGATTTCATGCATGCTTAAACCTGAACTGCCCGATTAATCAATGGCAACCAAAAAATTTAAAAAAATACCCAGTTCTACTAAGAAATGAAGAAAGTTGAGCGGAAAATTAGTTATTAATTAAAATAAACGTGCAAATTGTATGCATATGCACATATTGTATAGCACGGCGGCCCGCGGGTGACTTAAGTTTGTTTAACATTTTAAGCGTCATTGCTTAAACCAACCATGATGAACAAACACTTATCAAAAAACTCACTGTAACAATTTTCATTAATCTTCCGATTGATTCCACTGTGAAATGAGCACTCATAAATTATAAATTAAATGTCTTATATCATGGGTAGAAAATATGTAGATGGATCTGTTTTAAATGATAAGCGATAAGCGCTATGCCTCGACTAAGAGAAATAAGGATTTATTTGTATATACCTAGATCGATATAGATAGATTGTAGAATTTTACCTGTCGGAACAATTCATATTTACACTCCGATCAAACACATAGTTAGACCGATAAAAAGTTAGTTATACAATTTGTACGTAAATAATTTATTTTTACCGATTTCAACCCTTTGAAATTTTGAAAATCGGGCGACATGGTGACACTTAAGAAAGTATTTGGAAAAATTCTGTAAAAAAGTTAAATATCGTCGTCACAAATTTGGTATATAAAAAAGACCTGTTCTTTTATATATATAAGGAGGTATTATACAGTCTAGTATAGCTAGACTAATATAATCGTATTTGTAAAGACAGTTTAGTAAACACTATAATATATTGGGTCTCTAGATAAATACAGTGCTCGAATTGGGGAGAAGGGTACACAGGGGGCCGGAGCTCCTTTACTAGTTTTTTTTTTAGTACACCAACTATATTTGTTCACTGGAACGCGAATGGGGATGACACAAACTAATGTCTAAAGTATAAATATTGATTTCAATTTACGTCAAGTCGTCAGTTATGTAACGAATTTGTGATTAAAAATCTTTATTAGATGCAATAAATACAGTAGCTATATTATCTTCAGAGCGTGAGCGTGCGTTCAGTTTGATGAATGAATGAATGAATTAATTAATTCATCATTACTCTAAAAATAAATGGATTGTCAACTACAAACACTATAGGTACATTATACTATTTATTTATAATTAATTCTGTGAGTTTGTTTATGCGTAATATAAATACGAAAGCTTCAACCAGTCGACATCAAATTTTGATGTGTGTATAGTAACATTTTGGAAAAAATTCGGAAGGATATGAAGTATGGCCATTCAAAATTATAGATGTTTAAATTACAGGACATTTGTTCATCAGTCGATGTCGAAAAAAGTTCTTCTATTTACGAAAATCTTTTATAGGAACAACGACGTTTATTTGTGTTCGAAAATATAATATAACAGCATATTATTACACAATGCACGAACACAATAATTTTTCAGGTAATGGCCAGAAAAAGAAAGTAAAAGATTAGTAAATTCATAAATTAATTTTTATTTATTATTTCAGATTAATAGTTTGAAACTTTCGGAAAAAGTTAGAAAGAAAATGACAATTATTCAACAAGCTGTACACAGAATAAACTAAATTTTAATAAAATAAAATAAATGTGAATATTTTATAAACGAAAGTGTCCTCTTGATTCATAATAATCAACGCAGAGCTGAACCTATTAGAGTTATCGACTTGACATTTTGAGGATAGATTAATATTATAATTTCACCGTGTACTAAAAAAAAAATTTTTCAAAATTTTGATTTTAAATTGGTTGAAATCGGCGAAAATAAATGTTTATGTGTCAATTGTACATCTAAATACATATATTGGCACGGTGGCCCGAGGGTTTCTAATGTATTTTTTTTAGAATTTTAGATTTTTTTCTAGAGCATTATTATCCCACTCGAATGCTAATTATTAATCTGGTTCTTGCATCTGAAAACAAATTGTACATTTGTACCTATACACGATATTATTATATTGCGATCGCAATACCTGAATATATTAAAGATCCTCCCACACTATTCGACTAACTATAAAATCTAGACAAATTATGAATATATTTTAAAAATTGGAAGGTAGGCCCGAAGTTTCGAGGACTATCGGCGAAACGGTGGCGCGAAATGTCTGGCGGTGAATGTTAGGTGTCAATGATATAATCTTAACATTTAGTCAAAAAAATGTTTTTCTCGCTTCGATCTAAGATACTTACAAGTTACAACCTTTGTTATAACTCATAACTAATAAGTATCAGATTAGAACTATACAAGTATTTTTCAACACTTAACTGAATGAAAAACAATGAAACCACACAACAACTTTTTGTTTCAAATATACTCTTAAAATAAAATATATTATGATCTTTAAAACAAAAATTGTCAAAATATACACAGAAAATGTTGCGTATTTATTTGATCCCAAATATATTGTAAATTGTTAGTAAATTTTTAGTCACATTCACATAATCACATGTTATGACAAAATTAATTTTAATAAACATTGTTATAAATAAATGATTCAGAATTGAGCTACGGAGAGTATATTTATGTACATTAATATTATGTAGGTAATAGGTATATACTTATACACTTATACAGTTATACAGTTATATCAGCATGGCTGCATATATGTCATACCCACACACAATACTCATAGCCACACACGCGACACTCATACAAATTATAAATATACATTTATACATTTTTGTACATATTATGAATTTACAATCATAACGTGTATAAAATAGACATAATAATATAATATATTTGTATCGGTGTATACTAAATAAAACTAGTAATTGGTTGGTTCTCAAAATATTTGTTGATACTAAACTAATAATATTATTTAGTAAATAGTAAATAGTATCTAAGAATGAAAATTACAATTAATTATAGAACATTTTGTTTTCATCACCGAAAATTTGAACAGGTATATACGTGGCTATACAGCTGCGTATACGCGTGTATCGTCGTTTATTTAGTGAGTATATGCTAAAAAAAATACTAGAAAAGTTAGTATACGCCGTATGCCCTGCCAATACATCACTGTCTCTAGACATTACAGATCTATATATTTTATAAGGCACTGATCAGACAGTTCGACACTTGTTATGTAGTCGTAATAAGGCTCTGTTCAGACACAAGTCCATTCAAATGTCAATGTTGGGCTGGTGTTCAGTATTGCACCAGTCCAGGACCAATAAATATAACCACGTACTGACACCAACTGAAAACCAATTAATTCTACTCGGGATGTGGTCTACAATAATTATCATTGTTTTTGCCGTATTGAAATACATACTATTCGATCGAGCCATGATATTAGCTATGATGGGCGCTATTGAAACCACAGATAAATATAATACAATTATGTCGTAGTATCTGAGGTTGAAACTATAGGTTCACGACAACATTACAATATAATAACAAATAACAATAATATGTGGTGCCGCCGTGCAGTTAGTAGTGCACTGTTGTAGTTGTACGGCGTACGCCGTCATAATACAATACGGAATTTAACAGTTGTAGAAGCTAATTTTAGACTCCCCGGAGTATTTGCTCACGAACAGCTACAACTTACAAGTTGTTTTACGATTCTACACATCACAGGGAATACGGACGGCTAGCTATAATCTCCCCCCCCCGCACAAGATTACACAGTACCGTCCTGGGCTCGGCTCCCCGTCACACGTCCGCCGGTTCGTTTCCTGGCCATGTGCGCGATAACAACGCAAGGCGATATACGTGCGAGAACTAGAACAAAAACAGTGTTCTCGTCGAGCATGCAATTTCACACTAATTTACATTACCACTACGGTGGGCATTGCCTGTTGGAACAAAAGAAGTTTTCTGCGCGCTACGCGCCTGGCACGTAGTTTCTCGCTTCAATCAACGGGTGCGCTGTTTTCGACGTTCGATCGAATAAATTATTAACACGGCGGGGCTGTGGTGAATTTCAGGCGTTGTCGACTATTAAATTAGTGATTATACCGAATTTTCGAATGCGCGCGCCGCGCAAGACATCTTTTTCGTATATTTGTCGCGTCTGCGTAGCACCGCCCGTCGACACCGCCGGCCCGCCGTGTAGCTGTTCGCCCGACGGTTCCGTTGATTTCTATTTTAGTATTTTCTTCGGCTGCGTTTCCCTGCGATATCCGCGTTCCGCTTCGCTCGCTCCGTGGTTTCCGTTGTTACCGACGACGTCGACCGCGATATTAATAGGTATTTAATGTGTTGTGACGGTCGACGCTCAGTCGTTTTTTCGCCGTTTTTTCATTTTCTCCAGAAGCAACTGCCGCTGTCACTGATAGTTTGGTCGGAAAACGCATTTTGCTCCATCCCGATCCCCTTATCACCGATCGTCTAGAGACCGTCGACGGACACGTCAAAAATGACTTCCAACATCGGCGTTACGCCAAGCAAAGGTAATGATTTCAAACAACGAAACGATTGTACTCAACTCTAAGTACCGGATTTATATGCGCTTAGAATCGTTAAGTATGCATCCAAACGTGCAATGAAATGTCAAAATATGAATAATAAGGTTTCAAATTTTAACACGTTTTTCATCGTACCTATTTCGTAATTTTGAAGTGTACAGGGAACAATACCTACCTACATATTATTTATGCAGTAGGCACCAAAATACAATATTTCATTTTTGTTAGTGACTATGTATGTAGTATAAATTAGCAATTTACATGGTTCACGATTAAAAAACATTTAATTAGGTATCAAAGTGTATTCCATGTTAATTTCTGTAAAATTATGGTTGCCATTTGTTAGATGTACTTGAATGATGAGAAGCTACGTTCAGCTCTGGTTATTAGTGCATACTGGTATTTAAAATTGAATAAAATAAACAATTTATTTTATACAAAATGATTTTGTAAACATGCCCACTCCCATTTTTCCTTTAATTATGGGTACCTAAATTTATTCAAATTTTGATTTTTATAATCCTTAAGTACCCATGGGTTAGGCATTTAAATAAATACCATATTTTCAAATTGATAATATTTTTTGTAGGTACTACTTAAGGGGTGCCTGTGGCGATTTGAACTTCTAGTTTTCAAATGAGTATCCCCCCTTTTTTACTGCAAATTACTTAGTGATTGATTTCTTAAACATTTTGAGGTATCTAATTCAATAATCTAATAAGTAGTGTTTGAGTTATTAAAATGTTTATACTATGGATAATTGTCCTTAAATATAATATTACAAAAATATAAACTATAATTAATACCTACCTATGTAATATTAGAATAAAATGTAATATTCATTATACTAGGATAATTTTTACAAAGTATTTTTATTAAGAAATAAATTGTAAGACTAATATTTTTAAATCATCTAAGCCCCCAAATCTGCTTAACCCATTACCATATCTATATTAGCCTTGGTAGTTACACCAAGTTATATATTTTTACATGACTCAAAAACTACTCATTGAAATTTTAATTTAGATACATGAAAATTCTCAAAAAAATATCTGCTGAATATCTAAAAGTGAAAAAGTGGGGTTGCTGTTTGAAAAACAGAAGCTTGTAGTGTCATAGGATCATCCTTTAAGTGGTACAAAAATCTCAAGTATTCGAAAATATGTTCTTTAATTTTAAAATGTATTTAAAAGTTGTGTGAACACATTTAAAAAATTACGGTGTCTATATTTTATTTAATATAAATATACCATATCAAATTATTTTGGATTATAAGGTGAACCAATTTTTCACTTATTAAAAGTATAAATTTATGAGAGGCAAGAGTACGATAAAGTATGATATGTAGACATTTATTATACAACCAGGATAAATCGAGGAGCCCAGACATTATTTCTCCAATTTTTTTTATAATTCTATAGATCTTGATTTTCTTATTAAAAACATAATCAATAATTTATTCATTTCATTATGATTATACTAATATTGAGAAAACAATTTTAAATTATGCCACTCGTGTTTTTTATTTCTCTGCCAACCATCGTGAAAAATACATTCAATATATAAAATAATGAGTTTAAATAATGATGTAATGTTAAAAAATACCCAATTCGCGTTTGCAATATGTCTCTGAAGTACGAGGACAAGAGTATATAAAATATGTAATACTATTTTATTGGTAATCTCAAACCGTTCATCCAATTTTTAACTCTAATACTTTTCTCTTTACGACAATTCTTTAGTTGACATCATTATCTTGACCCTTTTAAAAATATTTTATGGCCATTTTCATGGCAAAATTGTATTTCTTTTATGGGTAGCATAAAATCAAATGAGAATTCTCTAGAACCTATATTTTTGCATTATAAATATTAAAATATATAATCGATGCACATATATCCTGTTAAATTTTGTATTTAATTTGTGAAATATAATCGGTGAATTATAATCATAATATACCTGTGTGCTTCTGTGATAAGTTGATGCATTGTTGTACGACCTTAATAATTTGAACACTATCTAACTATCTGTAACAACACACGTTTCTTATTAAGAACTGTCTTTTTATTATATAACATTTAGGTTATCACATATCTCATCATTACATCTCTCCCCTGCTTATGAGTGAGAACTGAAATTTTAATTAAACTTATTAACTAAACAAAATACAAAATAAATTAGTGACAATGTAACAAATTATTAACTAATAGTAATGTTTATCAGTTTAAACAGTGTAATCTTCAAAATGTTTTGGAGTTCTCTTCAGCCTTTCACCTTTCCTTGGTTCTTCAGTAGTGATTTTTTTAAAGTGTGATGAGTTCCTGGTTACTTGTCCTTGGTCATCTCTTCTCCCAGTGATCATGGTTCCCTTGACTTCAACTATCTCCAGAGGTTCTGGGTCGAATGGTGTTGAGTATTTATTTACTTCCTTTTGTTTAACTAGTACTGTGTCTCCAACTTCTAGTTCATGCTCTGTTGCTGCATGTCTTGCGTCACTGTTTGTTGCACTTATGTTTTTATTCCTTGTATCGTTTTGTCTTATTCTTGTGTCTGTTTCCTCATCATCATAATTTGTCTCTATGTTTTTCATTTCTGGTAACCAAGTCCTAAATTTTCCTCTGAACATTAGTGATGCTGGTGTTGCCTTTTTGGTGGTATGTGGTGTTGTTTGGTATGACATCAGAAACTCATCAATCGCTTCTTACCATTTCTTTTGAGATACTATTGATGTTTTGATTGCTTTACCTAATGTTCTCGTGAAATGCTCCACAGTCCCATTCGCTTGTGGCAACATGGCATTACTTTTCTGTGTTTAATTCCAAATGAATTTAGAAATTGACTAAACAAAATCCCATTCATTGGTGGTCCATTGTCTATTTAATGCACTCAGGTAAGCCAAATTCCATGAATATTTTTTTTAACTCATAGACTACTATTTCAGTCTTTAAATTATTGATTATTCTTACTATTGGAAGGTTTTTGACGTTATTTCATTTATATTTAACGCAATTTTTAAAAGTCCCAACTTTACTGAAGTTTCATACCCTAGTAATGATTGGTTATTACCTTTTACCACGAATATGTCCACTATTTCTTCACGGTCTAACATCTTGATTGTTGTTCTTACTTTTTCTATGACTTCAAGTGGTTTCTTACTAGAGTATGCAAATAACTTTTGAGATACTTCACTTTCTTTTTTTTTATAATTGATTTTATTTCTTTTCCAGGTTTCTTCTGATACTATATTACAACTTGATCCTGAATCAATTAAAAATTTAACATATGTGCCACCAACTTAACATATTACCACATTTGTCACAATCTTTTTTTCCTGATATTTGTGTGTTGAAATACCATTGTTCCATCTGGTGGATTACCATGCTCTGGTATTCCAAAAAAAATATCCTGTAGCTCTTGTCCACCTCTGTGCAGTATGATAGCTTGCTTTTGCGTATCCTTCGTTATACTTTGAGACAAAATAAATATCATTATTGATCTCTTCAATTTTTTCCAATTGGAAGATTCAAAAGGTAGTATGTAGTCTTTATCCTGTTCCATCGCGTTTTCCGTTTAACGCAAACACAACTTTTCCCGTTGACCGATTTAACACAAGTACTCACTTTTGTTTATTTGCTCATGAAACTAGGCTACTTTTTTTCTACAAATTATACAAGTTACATTTTCTTTTTTCCGACTGAGCCATTGTAGCAACACACGTTTCTTATTAAGAACTGTCTTTTTATTGTATAACATTTTAGGTTATCACATATCTAATATTATAATAAATTTTATAATTAAATTATAGAGATAAGTGTTAAAAATGAAAATGATGATGCTGAAATCAATGCTATGGCTCTTAAATTAAAAGAGAGTTATCGAAAAAATGCTGTAGCCACAACAAAACAACTGAGTGCTTCTCCGGCTAAGGTTTATGCAAATAGAGCCAATAGAACAGTAACTTTGGCTATTAAACCAATCACAACTAATAATACACAAAAAAAAAGTCAAGAAGAATTAACTAATGATTGTGAAGATGCAGAAAGTAGAAAAGGTGAGTTATCCAGAATAAATTCATGTTTTGAAATTTTCCATGAAGACACTTAATATTAAATATTCTTTTGTACAATATAGCTAGATTTTCTTGGAAATCAATCGCAGGATTCCATGTACCATATATCATACGTTTGATTAATGGTGAACATTTGAAGTTTGTATCGACACGGATGGCTGAAACTCAACTACTATGCAATTATTTACATTATTTACATTCAGATATTTATAAGTCATGCACATCAGTGAAGTGTCATTTTATCACTGATTCAGAAGCAAAGTTATTAAATGACATCAATCTTAACCATACTAATTGTGTGTATGGAAAAGAAATGTTCTTTGCAGGAAAAGATTTTATTGCCCGTTTAGAAGATGTTCATGAGTTTTATAAATTCATAGAAGTATGCTATAAAAAATTACTGTGCAATATCACTCCAGATCACAATGAAATATGTGGTTTTATACGTATTAACTCTGAATCTGTTGTACCCTATTGTATTAATGATAGCCAAAAATATGTTCCACTATTCTACTTTGAAGGCGAAACAGAAAACCTAACAAATCTAAGTATAAAGTTGGAAAATTGGAAGTTAGCCTATCTCAAGTTCTGTTGTAAAGTTCAGGGTATCAGAGATGAGTTATTTGATAGTGACTCTTGTACAGTGACCCGCCTTGATGATATCAAGCATTATTTTCTATCAGATACACATTTTGAAGAATATTGGCCAGCTAAGGTGGTTGATACATATCTTCTAACTAATGAGAAGTCTACCCATGTCAGACCATCTGGTGCCTGGATCAGAGCCCCCCCTGAAGTAGTACCTACTGAAAACACAATTCCTCACACTTTAACAGCACCAGCACCAGTTATACCACAGAGTATGCCAATGATTATGAACACCTATCAAAACGGATGCCCAGAAAATCAAATGGTATGTGCTATGTGCTTGGTTGATTACATTTTTTTTATACTTTTGGTTATTTAAAAATAAAATTCCTTATGTTTTTCACAAGGTATTCAAATGTATAATTTATTACTATTATTTTTAGGCATTGACTATTAAATATTAATAAATAAATATGTATATCAATTGGACCGGACGTAGTGAGAAAATCGTTAAGTCAAAAATGCTGAATTTTCAGGAGAAAAAAAAAGGTTCCTAATCCTTAAATATTTTTGATTTTATTTGTTAGAATAGCTTTTTCTATCTCATAGACATTTATTTTCAGATTTTCATTCAACTTAAAGTCTTAAGAGGACCCTATACCCGCATGTGTTGTCTCCGCCTTAAAAGAATGTAACATATCAAATTTTATGTTCAGCAGATCACGTATAGCTCAGTTAGCTTAACAATTAGAGTGAATTGACCTCTTATTAAAATTAAAGATAAAATTATTACAGAGTGCTTCTCCTGGGCTTTTTATTATATTTTAATTTTAAAGAGAGTTATGAGTATTTTAAGTTATACAAACAATTTACAATTTTTAAATACTCATAACTCTCTTTAAAATTATAATATAATAAAAAATTCCATGAGAAGCCCTTCGTAATAATCTTACCTTTAATTTTGATAAAAAGTCAATTTACTCTAATTTTTAAGCTAACTGAGCTAAACATGATCTGCTGAACTTAAAATTTGCGATGTTATGCTCTTGTAAAAAGGAGACAACACATGGGGGTATAGCGTCCTCTTAATTATTTTAAGACTTTTTTTGAGTGACTTGACATAAATGACACAAATAATATCTGGACTTAACACGTTCTCACAACGTCCACCCAATCAATTGTTAACTATTTTAGACCTAATAAAATAATTTATAAGTAGAAAGAATGATTTTAAAATATTAAGTTTAAGTTTTTTACATGCAATTTTGCTTTTTTTTTTTTTAATTATTCTAACAGTGGTGCAGCATGTATTTCAATTAACTCATTTTTTTCTATAATATGTCATCCTGGATTCTCTATAAATATATAATGCTTCTGCAGGTTAATTCACATAGCACTGAGGACCAACTGCTATCATCAACTCGTGCATATTCTATTGCAACCAGAAATCAAAGTATGGCTGCCCAATGCTATAATGCGGTACTTATTTTTAAACTTTCAACCAATTATCTGTTTTTTAAAGCTCACAATGTAATATACTTTTGACTTTATAATTTTGTCACCATTAAAAAGATAACCTCTTTAAATTTTTGTTTACTACAAACAATTTCTACAATCTAATGGTCATTTTTTAGTTAGTAAGCCAAACAATTTTTTAATTATATTAAACATTTTTTAAATATAAATTTCAAATTTAATAAAAATATTAACTTCAAATTTGACTTTATATGAGATAATAATTTTAAGAGTTTGTATTCAATAGTAGGTTGTAACTTGTAATACATTTAAAACAATTAATATTACATTGTTGGCTATATATATAAGATGAGTTTTAAGCATGTTTGCTCTATTCTTATGCTTTAATTATGCATGTATTCAAATTCTGTAATTTTTAAATACAATCGAACACCATATTTTCACATTCTTGAGATTTGTTGTACCACTTAAAGATGATTTTACGACAATACAAACTTCTGTTTTTCAAGTAGGACCATTTTTTATTATTCAGCAGAACTTTGATCCATACCAATCAAAATTTGAAAGTGTAGTTTTTGAGTTCTATAATTGTGTGTGCTTAGGATAATGTCTGTATGGTAATGGGTTGAGTAGATGTGAGGGCTCAGAAAAGGGGCTTATTTGAAAATGTTAGTAATAACGCATTACCTACTAATCTATCAATATAAAATAAATTATTTGTAGAAATGGTCCAAGTATAACAAATATTTTTATTATATTTTTGTTAAACCATTTTCATGACTCATAATCTACCCATCAGAATTTTGATTAAGATACAACAACATTTTCAAAAAACGATCAGCTAAGTAAACAGGGTGGGTTGTCATTTGAAAAATTTAAGTTTGTATCACTTCAGGACACTCCTTAAGTAGTTAATAAAATATCAGGAATTTAAAAATATTGTCTTCAAATATACTTGTAAATTTTAAATTTTAAATTTGAATAAATGTATTATGGACAGAGAAATTAGGGATGAGCATTCTTAAAAAATCACCTTGTATATAATATATATATTTTAGTAAATAAACAGTTTTTACATTTGGTTTTCATTGGATTTGCAGGGTCCAACGATGTCTCAAAGCAATATTTTGACAAACAGTATGGGCCATGTTGTTCCACCACTGCCTCTACCTCCTGCAGGCAGTACAACACCAGTAATTGGGTGAGTGTAATCAGAATAATATAAATAATCGAATTTGTGAATATCTAAGAACAGAAAAATAAATAAATTTTACTTATGGTAATACTGTCTCATACTCAAACATTGTACCTATTAGCTCATGTATGACAACTGTGTACAATCCAATGACCAATGGCAATGATATGTCACACTCAAATCAAATTCGTCAATTGTATGGTCTACATGCTATTAACAATAGCCAAGCCCACCAACAGTTGCAGCAACGGCAGATACAACAGCATCAACAACAACAGCAACAGATAATGACTACTCCTCAAACTCAGCAGTCATATAGAAGGCAACCCGTGTATGGTCGTTTCACCAACACTCAACAGCGTAACACCTTGAGAAATGTTGGGACCATTGGAATAACTATTTCCACTGAAATCATTGACTTATCAACTCCACCATCTAGCCCTGTTCATTCAACTGTACAAGAGACTTCTGTCCACCCTAATGTTGGATGGGAATTTACAAGAATACCTAATCAGATGTGGACACAGAGCACATTAAGTAGCGCATACAAGGTTAAAATAATAATATTTATTAATTGCCACCATAAAAAATTATAAAAGTCATTAAAGTATTTAGTACATGCAAAAATTGCAACACATCCTATAAGCATATGCTTGGTATGTGGATGAGTTGAGGTCATTCAATTAATATAAAATAAAGTATCTTACAAAATTAAACAGAATATTTTTAAAAAAATAGATAAAAATTTAAATACTGCTATAAGAAATAGAGATTAATGCCGGTATGGCCTTTATACAAGAAAATTCATCTGAGTTAGAACACTAACATTATTTTTATATTGATTAAAACAGAGAACTAGAAAAATCATTTTTGTTGTACTTGGTAATTATATTACACCTTTACGTATAGGGCTTTGATTAGGTACCACAAGAGTTATTAAAAGGAACATTGAGGTTATTTTTACCTTTTCATCTCATGTTATAAGTATGAGAAGGTTGATAGTTGTTAATAATAGTTTTAATTTTAAATCTATAAAATTAAGTTTGACGTTTATATAATGAATTAAATTGAAATAATTCTTATCAAAGAATTAATAGTAATATTTAATACATAATCGTGGCTAGAGAAAGTACAATGCCATACCAATGAACCATATAAATAAAATAATTTTGCTAGAGCTAAAAAAGTACTCTTTCATTTTTTAAGTAAGATATTACAAAGTATTTTTAATTAATCTACTATTATAAGAATATGTACATATTGATAAATCTGTACTAAAATGTATTGTAAGTACTAATGTAGTTGGTAATATTTTTGAAAATAACATACTTAGATTTATTTAAATTGAGTTGTAGATTATTATTGTCATACTATTGCTTAATTAAATCAAGATAAATATTTGCTTCTTTTAATAAATTATTACAATTTTTGATGTTTAATATTTAATATTTTAAGATTGAATGATGTTATTAAGGCCTAGAATAAAATAATATTATTTTTCAAAACTTTATAAAATATAGATACCTTTTTTTTACATCGGATAATGTTACATACTGTTAATCTGTTTTTATATTTAAAATCAAGTTTACATGTATTTACAATAATGACATTTTTATCTAGAGTTGTGTCAAACGTCAGTCAATTTTGTATCGCATAGATACGTTTATAATGTTCATTAAATAAATATCAGATACTAATAGAGATTAAACATTAAATTTATGATATAATATTTTGATAGACTACGTTGTACATAAATGTTTTGTATTTAAATGTAACTGTCTGCATTAGACATTAGTTTCTCTTATCTGACCATTTAAATTTGTATAGTTTTTCTATAAACCAAATGTGTATACAATATTTATCTTTGGTAATAAAGTTATGTTTTATACTTAATATTTGTGGAATATTTCTTAACTTCTCACAATCAATCAATATTTTTACTTTATTGATCAATTGCTATATAACAATAAATAGCAGCCCTGTATGTTTTAAATTAAATTCGAAGCAGTATAAACACAATAAAAACCTACCGTTTAGCCTTATTTGCTGTACAGAATACGGAATAATTTTGTTTTAAAATTTTTATATGTGTATAATCTTACGCTTATTTTGGTAATAAATAAATAAATAATGTACCTATATAATATATTTCAACACAGATCCAAAAAATGACACTTCAAGGACAAACAATCCACTGCATAAACGCCAAACCTTATATGTATTCAGATTTGATGGTAACCTTAGATGACCTAGTTCAGATGGTGTTACCTACATGCACTGTTGCGAGATGCGCTCACATCTTGAGCAAATACTTAAAAACAACGATATTCAGTGGCAATTTGTAAGTATCTTTGCTCCTCCTTTTAATCATCATCAATATCCTCCAATTTCTCGTTTAACAGCGAGGTTAGTAAATTTTATTCAATGTTTGTTTAACAGTGAGCAATTAGCCGTATTGCGAGATAATGGACGTCTCAGGTCAATGTGGCCAGAAGACACGCCGATGGCCATGCTGCAAGACATAGCTCGAGTGTTTCTGCAGTTAAGGACATTGGTGTTGCAAGATGAACAAATACAGCAATTATACCAATATGCGGATGTGCCATCAAAGAGACAACGCAACATCTAAGAATGGGCAAGGTATGGCAGAAGCTGACCCAGCTAGTGGTAGACAGCAGTGGTGGTGTCACTATCCCCCTACAGCCATCACTGGTTGGTACCCTCCGACAGCTACAATTGGCCTAACACCGGTGCCAGTCCGCATTACCCACTTAACTTACTGATGCATAATGTCTACCAGAACCAAAGCAACTGCCCTCCTCCCCTTTCCGTACATGTAAAAACTACTACCACAGCATAAGTAATCTGTGTCTCTATGAAATTTACTCTGATCGTCAGTTTTGATTACCTCATTAATTTATAAATCTTTGAGTATTATTATTATTTATTATTAAATGAAATCCTATCAAATTAAGATTATGTCGAACAACTATGAGATTCTAATTCTGAATACCAATATATTATATTATTATACTTTGGTGTTTTGTTCCTATAAATAGTACGTATACATTGATATACATAATGATATGTACTAACAAAAAAAATATTTATGTACCCGAATCCGTGTCGTTTATATATTATAATTTACTATTAAAATAATATTGTTATATTTATTCAAAGTATTAATTTGAATTTTAGTTTTAAATATTTTATTGAAAAGTGAACACTTGTAAAATAATTAATTGATTATATTTTGTTTATATTTAGCTTTTGTATTGGCCAATAAAAAGAAAATTGGGATTTATTATTTTGATTAATGTTGTTATTTAATTTTGCTCTAAAAAAAAGTAAAAATATAATATAATACTATATTATATTATATTATTGAACATTCAATGTACAGTTATTTTCTGGGACATAATTTGATCAGGCAATAGTTTTGCAAATGGTTAAAATGTATAATAAACAATAATAAATTCAAACTATATGTAGATGTTAGATCTAGAATATTGGACAAAGTATAATACTGATTCATTACATGATGTAATAAACTAAATAAATATGATAGTTAATTATAACTGTTGATTACCCTGATACAAAAATAATATGCTGTATTGTTGTATTTCTCTCTAAATAAAAATATGCATGTAAAAAGTGGAAAGAAGTTTGCACAATTATGTTCAATTACTCCCATTCTTTTTTTTCTATTTATTTTTAAAATCCACCAAATGCGACTAGGATTTTATGTACCTATTAAATCAGATATTTTAATAAGATAGGTATTGAATTTAATGGTGAATTGTCATTATTGTCATTTACAGTTCAATTTCCACTATTCGGGGGGTTTTATAGTACTGTACACTGATAGCAGTTTATAAAACAACTCAACCACATGTGTTAATAAACATTTAATTATAATACAATTAAGCAGTTATTACTTCCAGTTCTCTAATGAAAATAAATAATTGTTAATTTACTTACTGAATTCAAGACATTTCTTATTAATGATAAATTTTAACACATACATTATACATTACATTGACTAACTCAATGACGAGGTACACTCAACATATATACACCTTCTGACAACATAACTGCAGAACAAGAGTGGTTACCTACTTTCTCCTTTTTTATTTTACTTTATGTACCTACATTTTAATAATTTACTTGAAATGTGTCTATGACAAATGTATGCATTATATACCCAACTTTTTTAAACAATGTAAGTTTTTTTTAAAAAGCGGCTTAGGGCAAATTCATTATTGTAACTTAGATCCAGGGGGCCTAGGGGCCTCGGCCCTCTCACAAGGCCTGCATTTTTAACAATTATATGCTATTAACTGCCTTATTCAAATGTATAAACAAGTCTAGGTAATTGGAAAAATTAAAATAAAAGCATATGTAGGTATATTTATGCAAAAGAATCATATATAAAGTATTAACACTTACTCTAACGAAAAAGAAATCCCCGTATTACAGAAGTACTGATGTGATTTTTATTCAAGATGAAGTCTTGGAACATTTCTAGTATTAAATTGTGTGCATTCAGTTTGAATTGATCGCAATATTGTTAACCACAGCAAAAACTTTATAGATCCACGTACAGGTGCTCAAACACAGACTATTGAAAGCTTATGGAAACACATGAAAGTAAAGTATGGATTCAGAGCTCGTGGAGTGACCAATCTCCTTGAAAGACAATTGCAAGAAGAATGGTGGAGATCCGTCAATCAAAAAAATGTTTTTGAATGTTTTTTACAAGATGTAAAAAAATAAAAAAAATATGAACAACTGTTAACAAACGGGCTATTTAAAAATACGACAACTGTGAACCAACAGGCATTGAGCAGGTTAGTAACCTGAGTTTGTAGATTTTTATATAGGATTTATTTGGTACATAGCATACGACACGTATGCGTAGATTTGTGTAGATATAATTTTTTTGGTAGATAGCATACGACAAGTGTGCCGTCAATTTAATGAATAACACCAAACACTGGCGTCTGGCAAGCATTTAATACTCGGAAAGTCAGAAATCAGAAAAAGTACTAGGTACTAGCCACTATAGGGTGGCCAGATTTAATTTTAAGAAATCCCGGACACCAAAATTCACAAGAAAAATAAATAAATTTTTATTAAACGGGAGATCATTGTGCAATTTTTAGTTAAAATGACAAAGCCTTTAAGGCATCATAGTCTCTACGTAAAATAATGAACTGTATAAAAATAGGACACTATAAAGTATTTCTCACTAGCGTCTATCATACTACTTAGTACTTATATCGTCAGATAATTATTGGATAAACTATAAATTATCCATTCTTACATATTAATAATATTATTATTCGTAATCACAGTACTCAAAATTCCTGGTTGAAAATTAATGTGGTTAAAGGCAACAGGTTGGTTAAATGTCGAAAGTGATTATAACTGTGATTGTCGTACATTCCGACGATCGTTCTCGAAATAATTTACGATTAGGTTATTAGGATTTGTTCAAAATAAAATCGATAACCGCGTAAGTAAAATAATATAATTATAAAACGATTTAAATTTCCGGGACAAAAGTCCTAAACCGGTACAAATCGGTGTCTCGAGAACCTTCGTCGGGACGCCGGGACATGGATTCCTTAACCAGTAACGTCCCGAGAAATCCGGGACGAATGGCCACTCTAAGCCACTAGGCAGATGAAAACTATGACAAATATAAGATTTAAAAAACCGTCAGAAACAATTCATATCAACTATTACGAATGTGACGAGAAAGTTAATGTAAAAAGTAGGAGCGAACCGTTTTATATCCATAATTTCTATTTGAACCGGTGTACACCGACACGGTCCAGACTCGCAATCGGAATCATAATAACCGGGTACGGTATTGCACACCGGTTTGCTCGGGCGAATTTGTAGCAAAAGTCACAACGGACGATGCTCGTTGGCGGCGGTCGATACGGCGTTTAACAATTGAACTATATACTATAATAATTATAGTATATAATTATTATATAGTTCAATGGTAGCAGGACGTGACGGAGCAGTGATGTGTCCGTGTTCTGTACAGTGCACAATGATAATCCGTTGCCGTTATCACTACATCGACGTATCACCTAATCACACAGACGAGTCGCCTTCCGCCGTAAATATTTTTATGTTATAATGTTGTTATTACTTATTATGCAATTGTGTTCAAATAGTGCCTACAACTGTTTACATCGTACCCCACGTTTGTGACCGCCGAGTGCCGACTGCAACGTTGTGTGATTTGTGTGGTAGTGTGTTGATATAAAATACAAACTGCAGAAAAAGCAATTGAATGAAGTTCTTTGCCACTTGGACACTTGATTGAGATATTTAGATCTAAAAATTCAATTTGACAGTTGACAATGTGGAACCGAATGCATTAAACATTAATGCAAGGGCGTGACTCAAGTCTTGATTAAAAATGGGTAAGTGAGTCTCAATCTATTTTTCGTTATTTATATTATAATGTATCTTATTAATTACAATAATATACAAAAATATAAAGACAGGCATAGTTCATTCGTAACTTAAATATCTGTTTATGTGCTTATTTATTACTTTAATCCATATTTATACTCATTGCATTAAATAAAAATACCTAAATCTATTTTATTTTAAAAAACTATGTGTAATATGTTATTTGAAACATTTTTTTCCATACTAAACCATAATATTACTGTTCCATTTGAATGTACAATTCAAAATTTAGTGTTAAATATTTCAGATTACTTTTTTCTTTTCTTTTTATTATAAACATGATAAAAAATGAAAAATAATAATTTATAAAAATTAATAAATATAAAATATAAATCTTTGTGATACAAATATGCCTCTAAGTTTATCTGTAGATTGTTATTTTAATTTTTCTTTGCTATTCTCACATTCCACCACTTTTACATAATGTAAGTCTAATTGTTCAGAAATATACAAGTGTTGATATGTTTTTATTTCCCTCTGCTCATCCATTAAATCTTTTGAAATGTTAGTAATTGTACCTTGTTTTTCACTTATTGCATTACTTATTTTATTAACTGTTAGTAAATTATTTCTTTTTTTATATTGTGTTTAATCTATTCTATTATTGTGCCTTCATATATTTTGGTAAATGAATTTAAGGAATTTTACCTACATAGGAATTTCTGTAGCATTTTTCTCTAAAAAATTTGTTTCGAATTTTAAATATTGTTTTTGGTGTAAGTGGTCAATTGTTTGTGTAAATAGCTGTTTGTCAATTCCCCCTATATCAGTTCTAACTTTTATGTTGGTTATTATTTTCGGTGGAAAGGTATCCTCCCTTGTTATTATTTTGTCTGTAATATATTCCCTCGCTATATTTATTCCAACCTCCATTTAAACACTAGGGAGTGTTCAGATGAATCTAGGACATTTGACACCCAATAATAGGATTATTGACACCCGCTGATAGGACAATTGACACCGAATATAAAATTTATAAATACTGAATAATCAGCGTATAATCGTGTAATATAATAATATAATTGAAAAGTTTATTCTAATAAAATGAAAAGATAAACGATTTTGTAGTAATTTTAAGATAATATTAAAAATTTAATGTTTAATTACGTAGGATACGTTTTTTAAAAAACTAATAATTTCACTATTTGTTTTGAATTGAGAAGTTTTACATATGTTTAAAACATAGTTTTACTTTTGTTTTAATTATTTCAATTATATCGGAACATTCTGAGTCCATATTGAATGAATATTATGATAATAATTACTTTTAAATAAAACTGAGTACATACTACACTACAACAGACATCTAACTAGTAACTAATAACTATTGCCTAATGCCTATAGCCTATAGGTACTTACCTACTCACGATTATCGTCATTGTAATCGTAATCGTAATCATAATCGCTCGGTGTCAATTGTCCGTGTTCTAAAAATATCGGGTGCAAAAAGTCCGATATCGGCAAAACCGTCGGGTGTCAATTGTCCAAGTACCGTTCAGATATTGAAATTTTGCAGAATAATCTTTAGTTGAATTTGAGGATTAGATTGATGGTACTTTGAAAATTTTGTGATTCTGTTTGCTAATTTATAATAACTAAAATGTTTTTTAAACTACCAGTAATTACCATATTAAAAGCTGAGTTAATAGTTGTGTATGAGTTGTAATAATGTTAAGCAAAGTTGCATTTTTTTATACTTAAAATGCTTTTGAAAATTAAGGGTTTATAAAAAGGATGTATTTTTCTTTTTTGAAACTGAACTAAAAAAGTATCAAAAACCCGAAAATAAGACAGCATTAACTACAATAGTCTTTTTAATATAGATATATTAGAGACCCGACTCGACTAACACAATCCTTATCCCTTCATGCTACCGCTATACAACTATGTTCAGGAAAGTAATATGTATGTTATAATTTTGAATGGTGTAATGGAAATTTAACTGTGGAAAAAAGTGAGTACATTTGTAATACCTTGATAAGTCTTTCTTTAGTACTGATTACTGTGATTTTTATTTTTTTACATTGTTTTACCACAGGTTGTATTTGCTAATGCAGTTATGCAACTAATAAATAAATATGGCATTGACAGTTCTGCTAACGTTCTCTTAATTAAAGAGGAAAACATTGTAAGTGTAGTTGTTAGTAATGTTAGTTACTAATGAATAGAATCTAGAAGCTAACATTGGAATGATTTTTCTAAAAATGTAAAAGATCTATTTGTACTCAAACATTGTATTTTTTGTTAGTTATCTGTAGTAAATATAATTAACTTGTAAACACTATTATTCTGGAGAGGTATAACAGCCGTGTCTCTAATTCATAATATCATCATATCAAATCAAAAATGGAACCTTACAATTACATATATAAAATATTGAAGTCACTCTTTTGGCATAATATTGCAGACCCGCTTATAAGAAAATGTAGATAATTGTAGAATAGTTTAGTATGGCAATAACTATAAAAATAGACAATTTAAAATAATATTATTAAATTAAAAATTATATTCCTAGGTTGAAAACGATAAACAAGTTTTCAAAATATTCATAGGTAAATAGTTAAAATAATTTTGGTAGAATTTGAACTTAACATTCAAGACCACTATAAAGCTTAATTTTTAAAAACAAAAAAATCTTTATGGTAATTACTTACAATACATATCAAGTTCATTTTCATACTCAATAAAAGCATATTCTATTGGTTTACCATTAATCTTATTATGTATGACAGAAATCTATATAAATTAAATACAATATTAGCTTAATAGAAAATACGAAATATTTAAATAAAACAGTTTCAATAATTTACTTTTTTGATAGGACCATATAGTTCAAATTTTCTTCGTAATTTTGATTCGGATGTTTCATAATTCTGAAATAATTAATTTGAATTAAAAACAATTAGCTATAATACCTATAATTCTTTCACTAATTAAAATTAAATAGGTAGGCACAGTTTTATCTCATTAAATACAATTAGTTAGATAGTATAGAAATATTTAGATGTATTAGAATAATATTCTATAGCAATAGTTTTTATCCAGTTAACTGGTTGTTATTGGTAAAACTTGCCGCGTGATCTCTATATCATATAAAACTTGTCAACATTATAAAATTGAATGATAAAGTAATATATTTTATAGCAAAAAGTATAAGCAATAACATGTTTACTAACGCTGATAACCAAGGCTATGAATTTAATGCATTTAAAAACTATTAAATGTGCTATAAAAACTGACAAAATATGCTCTAATTTTTCAATAATATGCAAAAAGACCACAAAAATTTTACTTTTATTTTTATTAATTTTAGTTTAAATATTAGTATTGTTACATATTGATACGAATATATGACTTTTTGGGCTAAACAAGTCCTGGTCTTATACAAGATATACAAAATAAATATGCTTAGAATATGTTATGTTTCTACTTAAAATCATAAATTTTACCTTTAAAGAAGTTATTGCATTGTACAATCAATGATTTCTTTAGATTTTAAAACTTTAAATGCCATTTTTGTATACAAACATTTTTATACAGAATAGTTTCCATGAAATTATACAAGTCATAGTTAATACAAATACATTTAATATTTTTATGTCAATTTATAACAGACCGAAAAAATGAAAAAAATGACGAAAAAAGCATTTATACAAAAAAATCATTAAAACATGCATTTATATGCTATAGCCTATGACCCATGAAATATTCAAAAATATGCAAAATAAGATTTTGTATTTGAACTATAAATGAGTCAAAACATATTTTGGCTGAATCCATTTTATTTTACAGTGTAGCAAAAAAAAACATGCAAATGTATTAAATTCACAGCCCTGCTGTTAACTTATATAAAATTGTTCATTATATAAATAATAAGAAATAATTATAGTAAGAAATTACTTTATTGTGTATTTATGTATTTTGTATATCTTCTATATGTACTGTAGTGTTATCCTAAATGTTTTAATATTGATTGTTGTAGTATGTTATTTTTGTTTTTCAGTAGTTTATGAGGGAAAATGTATTCTGTTACTGATATTTTTAAAAATGAAGAAAAAACAGTAAATTATTTATAAAATAGTTTACTGATCTGTCTGCCAAATTAAGATTTAAAAATTGTATTCATTAATTTTTATGCTTCTAATAGTTTTTTTAAGTACATAAATATTATTGTATTTATTTATTAATTGATAATTTAAACGGGCGTTTAGCTGAATACATGTTGTATACATACAATATACATGTCATAATAATCTAGGAAACAGTAAAATTGAATAAAAAATAATAATACAAATAAATTAAGAAATTTATAAATTAACCTCCCAATAAAGTAGTATATTATTTAAATAATAGTCGTGGAGAACTGTAGTGTATTACCTGTGATTATTGCATGATTATAAGTTGGTTACCAAGTGTTAAATTATACAAGTGTCTGGGGGTTGAAAATAAATTATTACTATTGTAATTTTAGAAAAGGAATCAAAGCCAAGTACTATAACAATAATAATACAATCCATACAAAATTACAAACTACAAAATTACTTACAATTCTAGAAAAAAATAATGTTTTGAACGGATTTGTTGTATCTTTTGCAATTGAATATGGTTTCTCTGAAACATAAAAGAATCAATGATTATAACGTGTGTCGTATAAAGTATAAACTAAGACGGGGTCAACCCGGTGCTTACAAAGAGCGATTGCTTGTTCCAACTTGTACTCCATCTGTTCGGTCTTCACGCGACGACGGCGCTCTATTCTTTCTTCTCGGCTTTCGATGTTTGTTAGAGGAAGTGTGTCTTCGGGATCCTGAAGAGTAAAAACATAACAAGATTATAATAGGTAGATTTAAAAAAAAACACTGGAAAGACTCATTCTAACGTTATCATTAAGTTCGTCAATACTCACTTCGAACAAATCCATATAACTCCTGACTCTGGAATAGCCACGGTTCTTCTTCTCAGAGTTTGGTGACCGGTGGCAGGTAAGGGATTTGGGGGGCTTCGGCGCCAAAAGAGCCAGCAAATTCGGCGGTCAATATTGACTCATCGTTCAACGTTCAAATTGCTCGTGGTTCGACGATGCTTAATCACCAAGGTAAACCATTTAGCATTGGGGTAGGCCCAGAATGCGAGTAACTAAAAGAATTGTAAGAAATTCAACAACGGATTGTTGATGTTACCAAGAATTAATGAATGATATAACTGACGCACAAATAGGCAAAAGAAATTCCGGCATAGAACATGATGAAAGCGATGGTCAAACACTTGATCGATTTGCTTACATTTTGCCTGAGGATCGGCATGAAGTTGGCAACGAAGGCTCGGCATGAAATTGGCAACGAAGGCTCGGCATGAAGTTGGCAACGAAGGCTCGGCACGATTTTGTTCAGTGAACAGTGGGATTTTGATAGCTGTCGATTATCTTATACCATATAGTATGATCTAAGGTGATGATTGGAAAATGTTATTGGCATTTTTACTTCTTAACTAATTTTAGTTTTTATATAATATTACTAGTAAAAAAAAGTTTTAAATGTATATTTAATGTTTTTAGTAGATAATATTAGTAGTTTGTGGACTCTATAACCATTAAGAATTTATTTATGACCTTGGCTACAACTAATTATTACGCACCTATTTGAAATTTTGTTTTTATGGTTGGTAATTCTGAACTTTGGAATACAATTTGGTTGTTATCGTTTGTCAGATAACGAAATTCGGACTACACTATATTGTTCATTATCATAGTTGTATAATATGATCTATAAGTACGAGCACGGAACATTAAACATGGAAAAAATTATTGTTTCTGTAATTTAATATTTTATCTATTATTTTCATATTTCGTGAGGATTTTTCAATCCGTAACACTGCGGCAGCTCAATTATAATACTAAGCTATTACAGCATACAAGCGTATGCCCTTGTAGTCGTGCTGGAGTTTACATTTCGACTTTTGTGCTAGCTGCAGTCGTATCGCCGTCGTTCACTTGTTTCTTACGTAATGGCCGCCGTCTAGCGATTCGTTCGTTTGCCGACCGATTCCACAGCGTGTGCTTAGTTTTTTATTTTTTTTCATCCGGTTGCGACGGAATTGTTTCGAGCCGTTCTCGTAACACATCGTTTTTTTTTTACAACGCTCAAATAGTCTGCCTACTTTTATTTTTCTCTGGATATTTATTACAATTAACTATTTGTTTATTGATTCTGTCGACCATACTACAATTCCATAGAACCTGTAAACATTGTAAATATCTATTTTAAAGTACCTATAATGTATATACTATTAGTTATAGTTAAATTAGTCATCAGTTAAACCTAGCATAAAAAATGGCATTGTTTTTTTTTCTAGATACAATGTCTTTCTGTTTCATTTGTAATGCGAAATTGCACCGTGTGCGTACACAGGTGTGTTCAAGCATTACACCACATACTAAGACACCGTACCCAGAAAAAATTGCTGGGTTGATGGGAGAAGAATTTGTGGTTATTGTAAACCCCAATGATAAGATTTGCAATAAATGTACCAAACATTTAAATCATTTGGACAAGTGTCATAATGACGCGAAACACTTAAGGATTGGACTGACGAACATGATGCGAGAAAAATATCCAGTATTGAAAACTGACGGTGATACGGTAAGGATAGAAAATACTTAGAAATAAGTTACATACTATTAAGTTGTTATAAAAAAATATCTTTGTCCTTAGATTGTCAATGGGCAAGTAATGGCAAAGGAACAACTAAAACAAGGTCAGCGTAAAGCTCCTGGTGGTTTGACAGTAAAAGTTTCTCCTCCTGTAACTACTGCTGCTGTTGTGACTCCTTTAAAATTGTTAAAAACACAACAACAGCAGCAGCAGCAACAACAACAAGAAAGCGCTAACGAAATGAAAATATACAAGTGTGGCTTTTGTCCGTTCCAATCCAAAGAGCAAGAACATTTTCAGTATGTATATTATTTAATATTATTTTAAAGTTATTATTTATACTTTCCATTTTAGATTGCACATGCTCACTCATGAGAACAAAACCAAGTCTAAAAACCATATCCTAAATCAAACAGCTGCTAAATTGACTCCGGTGAGAATAAAAAAAATGCGCTTTTACTATATACCTTCATTTTTAACATAAGATTAATAAATTAATTTTTGCACTCACACTTTCATTAATTCTTCAACACTTCTCAACTTTTGTTGATTCTGTTAACTACACTCAACTTAAATTTTACCTCGTATCATTGAACCAAGTTACTGTAAGAATAGAAACAATGGCAAATTTTCACTATAAATATCCTATTTTGTTCCATAAGATCATATTTTGAAAAAATATATTAATATATTATTTTACTTAAGTTTGTATTTATTGACTTTTAATTATAAAAAAATTGTTTTCAATAATACATGTAACTCATTAACTCTTATTATAATTGCATTTAATAATATGAGATACAATTTTGATTTGATACCTTAGTTTTTATAAATTTAATCATATTTAATTATTAATGCAGGTACCGAAGAAACAATTTTATAGATGTCAAATATGTTCAAAAACCTTTAATAGTCGAAGTAGTTGCTTGGATCACATTCAGAAAGAACACAATCCACTAACTGCATCAACCTCAATTGGAGTAAATGACAAAAATGTTTTAACAAATCTTTATGTTTTATTTATTTAATTTTACTTTTAGGAAAGAAAAACTAAAGATGAGTTGTCTGGTTACAACTAAAGTTCTGAAACCCGAACCATCCAAAATTCAAGAAAATAATCAACAAGCAAAAACTTATATGGGCATAGACAAAAATCAACAGGATAACAACAAAGACACCGTGGCCATTGACATGATGTTGAATGACAATAACCCCACTGAAGAATATGTAGGTATTAAAGAGGAAAAAGAAATGGAAAATGCAAGAAATTGAAAGCTCTTACGAAGATAAAACTGAAAAAGAAGCCGAATCAAAGAAAAAAACCCAAGCCTGCACAAGAAGAAGTTGCTGAATTAGAAGAAGATATAGCTATGTCTGAACAAGAAAAAGCTGATCAAGAAACTCCAGGTAATGTTGAGAAAGTAGTTGATGAAATGTGAAAATGTGGAAAACAACACGGGTGACCTAGACATTAAATCAATGTTATCCGCAATGCATAATGATAATCCTCCAACCAACAGTAGAGATATACTTAGGATATAAATAACTTATTTAAAAGTTAGTAATTAATTTTATATTTACTAGGTCCGGTTTTACAGTTCAAAATGTATTCTTCTTTTATGGTTTTTATATATATATATTCGTATTAATAACTTTTAAGTAGTATTTATTAGAAGACAATAGTCTTCTAATATATATATATAATATACAATATATATCATATTATATGTCTTCTATTATATTTCATATTAAAAATTAAACCACTATTTTTTTTTTTTATACATTATTAAGAAGATTAAGATAAGGAGTATAATTATACTTATAAAAAATACAAAAAATTGTTTGTATTTATTTACTATTTTAAATTTATTATATCCTAAATGTTTAGGTTAATATTTTATAATAAAAATATACTCACGATTGTGATTTAAAATACTGGTAGTATTTTTGAAATTAGTTTTGACATCTAAATATGTATACGTTTTTGTCATACTTTATAATTTTACCTTTATCAGTAACCAAGTACTTGTGTTAACTTGAATATATTTTTACATGCTGTTACTAAAAAAGATAATAAGTAAAAAGTAAAAAGTAATTTTATTATTAATTAATTTTCAGTGTAAGCTAATATTAAATGTTAAATTTGTAAGTTCATATTTAATTTGGTTTAAACTCATAATTATTTGTAAGATAATTTCATAACAACTTTATGTTTAAGTCTATCTTTTATTATGTGATATATTTTCTTTTACCTACAGTTGTAAGTCAGAAAAAGAAAAAATATATTTGTATATTTTAAATCATAACTTTTACTGTTTACGTGTCGATTCTAAAATATATTCCAAATGATTTTACATTTTGTATTTAATAAATGTATGGTACCTAAAATCAATTAATTTTTAGTATTTTTAATAAGTAAAATAAAAATATTTATAAAATGCAAATTTTTTTTTGCTTTTGCACTATGATAACTAAGAAAACATTATTCAACATAATGCAAATTCCAAAATATATTATTTTAAGCAATCTAGTTTAAGAGAAGTAAACAAATAATAATATTTGGTAGCTTGTAATATTATATTATACGTCTTAATCACATTTCTTAAATATACTTTACTGAAATATTTTGTAATGACTTGTTTATTGTTATAACTTGTATTTATATTCTAAATATAATTAATATAATCAATAAAAAACTAGTCTCTTAGATAAAATACTGACTTTGCTGTAGTTTTTAGTTCGAATAACTTAAAAAAATCAATTATTGCATGAAAACTACACTACAAGTACATTAATTCTTCCAGATTTTCAATAAGAATTCACTTTATTTTATAAACCATATATTTTATGTAAATCTATTTTTTTACTGTACAATAAGTGTTGGTACATTTAAGAAATGGGGCCAAAGAAGCAAATACATTATGCATTAAAAATGTGTATTTATACGATTTTGAAACTCAACTCAAGATATATAACAGTATTTAAGGTAAGAAAATCATTTTAAAACTAATACCTACAATATGAAAAAGAATGATTAAAAAAATTGGAAACCGCTCTATTATACATTGGGTGTCATGTCAAACGAATTACTCTTATTTATATGTTAAATTTGATTTCAATGATACATAATTGTATTAAAAAATAATTCTGAAAACGGCAGTCTGGCAGCATACATAACCTAGGATCTATATTTCATGATAATATGTTGTATGATATAGCTATTAAAGTTTTTATTCTACTTTAGTATTACTTTGCATTTACTTGATTTCCTTCCCAAAACATTGCATATATTTTATTATTACGATGCAATTGTTATGTTATAATAATAAATATTTTTACCACATTATAATATTATTGTTATTAGAAAAGCAAGGACTTTCATAAATTTTAATATTTTTCTTGTCAACTTTATTGTGTGCTTAGTAAGTACACAATACATTTTACAACTTTTGTGATCAAATTCCTAATGTTTTAGTGTATATTTTTGCATTTTTGGGGGTTTTAAAAACTTATTTTTGATTATAACAGCATATTTTAATTGTTTAGTGTATACATTTTTGATTATTTATCAAGAATCAAACACTTAGGTAAATATTTTCATGCATCAAAGTTAACAATTATACATATTAAGTTTGAATGAAGGAGAAGATATGTATTGGTTGTATTATTGTTTTTTTTTTAAATATTAAGTACACAGAAAATTAAATTAAGTATAGCAATTTAAATTAGTAAAAGTAAATAAAATAAAAGTTCTTGCTCTTGTTATTAACTTTTTAGTTAAGGATACCTACCATAGAATAAATTTTAAATTCTGTTTGTATATACAGGTTGCTATACTGCGTCAATTGCTGATAACTAGTTATCAATCAACATGTTATTTAAAATATTTTTATCACTCGTGATTGAACTATGGATATGATTTAAAACTGAAGCAATAATTCAAAGTTTGCCCACAAATTTCATCATTTCTAAAAAAATTTTTTTTTGTAAGACAATAAGCTATATGGGTATTGAATGTTTGATAACATATATTAAAGGTAAAAAGTAATAAATAAAAAAATAAAAACATAATTATAGGTTTCTGTTTTGAATTAATAATTATGATTAATAAGCTACGATAATCGTATATTACTGTGCTTTGATGTTATATTGAGTATATTTATTGCATTCACATATTTAATGTAATATAAATTACCAACAACCGGGCATCTGAGGTCATCCGCTATCAACTGTAAAATATGTTCATTAATTTTATGATTTTCAAATTTAGATTTATACTTTTCGCAATTTTTTTGATTTTAATACTGGTCCCGACCTTTGGATCTTTCGTCAATATTTAAGCCAAACCTTTAATAACAAAGTAAACCTAATAATTTATATTAAATTTTCTTACAATTCGACATCGTCTTTCATTTCACGAGTTAGTTATAGGTTTGGTTTGTTTGGTTCAACATTTTGAAGGCACATACAAGTGGCCTAGTAGAATCTAATACTTCTTTCAGTTTTATAATATTTTCTATGTCACTCACCCTGATAACAGGTATCTTCCAAATTATTTTACTTAGTTCAATTGCTACTTTTTTCAGTTTTTTCTTTAATTTCATTTGTAATGGTCCCAGAAACGTACATGGGTATAACGCAGGGACTGGAACCGGAACCGAAAGAATCGGGTTCTTGAATAAAAATTATGAACAGTAACCTTAGTTGGAATTCATATTTTATAATATACTTAGAACTGAAATCCTATTTTAAAAAGCAATACATTTTCTGATTCTTTTAGGTTCTTAGAAAAAGTCTCTAAGAAAAAGTCCAGTATTTAAAATAACTGAATATTTTGGGCGGGACTCTTTTCGCCCAAAAATGACCTTTCGTTTTTCGGTTATATATTATATTATATGTTTGATGTAGCTATTTCTCAGTACGCCAAAATTTTGTATTTTGCTACCATAACATCGCATTAGCTGTATTCTGTGTATTTCGATCCTAACATCAATCGATCAGCTGTTTTTGACGTAGACCACGGACTATCATCGAATAGTTTAGTGATTGGGTTGACGTGGAGGTATTAAATGTTTTGCCCCCACCCTCACTTTGTCCTTGGCGTAACCTGTTGTGGTGGCTCTTGCTATCAACAAGTCGTTAACATATCATTTCACTTTACTTAATGACCAATATATTGTACCTATTCAGTATTATTTAGATCCAGCACCATAACAGCTAATTATTAATCACACAGTGGCTTATTCAAAATTAAATAAATAGACCATTTTATTGTCAACGATCGAAGTGAGATGGCGAGTAAACCATCATACAAAGTATGTATCTGCAGTTACTATTAATTTTTTGTGTGTAATCAATTATTATTATTTTCGTTTATACATAGAATAAAATCCAAAAAGAATTGCAATTATTCATCATAGATCCTCCTCCAGGAATCAGTGTGGACGCTGCTCAAGCTGTACAAGATCCCAATATGTAAGTTCAAAATAAATCTTTGCTTGTTTGATGGTTTTAACAATATTTATTTGATTATATATGAATAATTTAATCACAAATATTCAAAGTTTGAGTAGGACATATCCTGTGAGATTATTATTAAAGTCTTTAAAGTGTTCATAATATTTTATATTTTAAAATAATTGGTTTTAATAATAGTTGTCGTTATTTTAGTACTATATATTATTTTAAGAAGATGTCGGTGCTATTTTGTAAATCTAACATTACTATAATAGCCATTTAAGTTAAGTAACAGAACTTTTTGGACAGATTATAATCCTAAAGATTTAGATAATCCAAATTATTTGTTATTGACAATAATCTAATATTTTAGGAGTGAGTAGGTTTTCAATACACCAATCAGCGCCAGATATGTCTAATAGACATTGTCTATGTCACTTCAACAAATGAAACCAATTTCATCAAATAAAGTTGGATAGAAAAATTTTTTTTAAACCATTTTAAATATTCAACCTTTATTTCCTTATAATCTTATTACCATTTGAATATTTACATTCTTTTACACACTGTAACATAGCATGAGTATGTTTGTTTCAAAATTAATTAGTATTAGCGAACCTAATATTTATTAATCACCATTGCGGGTACATAATAGTGTATTATAAATATTTTACTGTCTTGTTATCTCATATTTTTTAATCTTACTTTTTAGATGGATTATAAATATGCAAGGTGTAGATGGTACTTTATACGAAGGCGAACAGTTTCAATTGAATATCAAATTTGGTTCAAAATATCCTTTTAAACCACCAAAAGTAAATAATTTAAATTTAATTTTGATATTTAACTAATAGTAATACATTTTTTCTAAGGTTAAATTTGTGGGTCAAAATATTCCTGTTTATCCATTTGTGTATGATAATGGGCATATTCATTTATCTAATCTTGCCGATGACTGGTCACCAGTATTGACTATTAAATCTGTTTGCCTATCAATTCAATCTATGCTAAGCTGCTGCAAATACAAGGTGATTTATCTAAATTCACTTGACTAATACAATTATATATTGCACATTTTTAATTATTTAAAATGGTGGAAAAATAGATAACATTATCTGAACATATAAAATTTTAATCCATCAGTCATTTTGTTTTTTATATATTTTTTTAGTGTATGCATTATGCAGATGTAAGAGGGTATGAATTGTTGATACATTTTTCAACTTAGAATGAATATGACAAGTTCATTAACATTTATTTATTAATTTATATTTATTAATTTGCTTCAAAAAGCATATTTTTGTAGGTCGAGGTAACATAATAAGAAATTGTCTACTTCAGTACTTGACAATGATTTAAAAAAATGGTAGATAATTAATTTTTTTCTTTTATATTAAGCATTTCAATTTCCATTAATAATGTATTAATTCTAATAACAAAATGTTTATTTTTATTAATCCGTAAATGAGTATTATAGTAACACACATAGATTAAAATTTATAATCTAATCTATTATAGAGTAAAAATATTTCTACATATAAATTCATACATAAAGAATAAAATGCAAATGAAATAAAGATAAATCACATGCTTAGATTAGCAAAGTGAGTTACTCATTTTTACTAACTAGGTTTCTCATTTTGATCTATCATTAAACCTTTCTAAGTAACTGAAGAATGGTTGAAATATTTTTTAACTTAAAATAAACATAACGAATGTATTAACCATTTGGCTTATAAAAGTATATTTTCAGGGGGTGCATCAACAATCCAATCATCATTGGGATTGGAAAAAAAACATTGCTCTCAATTATTTCTATTCTTATGTTATTACATTAGAAATAATAATGGACCATAATATACTGTATACAGCAAAATCCATTTAATTGGGACACTACATAAATAAGACAACCATTTAATGGGGACAAAATGAATCCCAAATGAATGTATGCCATTAAAAATTATTCAGTAAATCGGGAAAGTCAGAAAATGGAGACAAATAGTTAATAGTCTTAAGTTTCACAATTAAGCGGATTCTACTGTCCTTAAAAATATATAATATGTATGAATAAATATGCGTATAAAAATATAAACTAATGATTTCAAACTCAAATGACCAATAGGCCATATACATTTAAGTCAGAGGTTTGCAAGCCAAACACCTTTTGTTTATTTTTTTCTCATTTTAATATTAAATCTAAAATAAACAAAATAAATTAAGACAAAATGTAATTCTTTTATTGATTATAATTATGATAAAAATTTCCATTGTGCAGTGTATTGATATTTTGTTCAATATCTAATAAATTTGTTTATATTATCAACTATAGCACTAATAATTTGTATTATAATTTACAGAAAAAACCCGGACTAAAAGAATTTTTTAGAAAAAGTTGCTACTTTTAATCCAAGTACATGTGAAGACACTAAGGAAATAAAACAAAATTCTAAAACTACCACGTCGGTACTATTTTATAATAGTTCACATTAAAAATAAAAATGTTGGATTTAATTTTAGTTTAATGTGTCACTTATTTTTTTTTTTATACATAAAAAAGTATTAAACATGCATAAATAATTGTTTTATTCACTGTACATTAACGTTTCACAAAATTTTGAATACATTTTGATTGCAACTAAATTTACTCACCTTATCACATTATATAAATCAGTAATTTTACCCTGATACTTCTTTTAATGTACAATTGATCATTATAAACAAGCATCATTCCTTTAAATTATTAATAATAAATTAATAAGTAACATTCTTTTTCTTAAGTTGAGTACCTAGTACATCTTAAAATAATTCTAAACTCTGTTTTTTTAGAAATATTAGATACACACTACGTTACAAGGGACAAATATTTTTAAAAACCATGTAACTATTAACAAAATATTAAATTGTATATCATAGATTAGTGTATAGTAAAATAATTAACTTGATCTATTTGTAGGTATGTAAATGGGCGTCCTCAAAAATTTGTCAAGGGAAGGGAAAAATATTTAAATTTTAAAATTTTAATATCACAATCTGATTAGTAGGTTGCTGATTCGTATGTACTCAAAATTCAAAAATATGCACATATATATGTATTTAATTTTATCCAAATATGTAATTAAAAATACAAGATATGTAAAAAAAATATTTTTATTCTTGAAAAAAAATTATAAAATGAGTATATTAATTAAGTAGGTAAATATAAATTGTACAATACTACATTTTATTACTATTGTATTAACATTGATTAGGAATACATTCAAATTAAATATTTATTCATTGGAGTTAGGATGTTGAAACGACATCTATTTCAAGTTTGGAAATCACATTTTCAACGACACTCAAATTGTCGCAACAATATGCAGTAGCATGTAACCAAGTACCTCAACGAGTTATCACTGGCTCCTGGGAAAGCGGTGTTTGGGGGTAATTTTCTTTAAATAAATGTACACGGCTGAGTGCTTTAAGAAAGCTTTAAGGAATAGCTCAATGTTTAGCAAAAAAAATGTAACACGAGTAAAATATGTAATTAAGATTAAATATGTGGAAATATATAATATCAACCATAGCTTAAAATAATCAGATAGTCCCGTAACATATTTCTATAGAGAAATCATTCGCGACAAATATGTAAATACATACAAATATGCACTCTACTGATTAGTAATTAAGTATTGTTTTTGATATATTTTCTATTGGAAAGGTAGGAAATGTAAATTATTTATACATTTTAATATGTAGACACTAAAAACTGAATCTCACAATATTCATTTAATTAATTAAAATAAGAAATTCATTTTTTTATAAATAAAATGTGACCATTGATTTAATAATTTTAGGTTATTTAATAAAATAAAATTTTACAAAATTCTATGAAAAACATAAGATAGATGTTAATTCAAAAAAAACCAAATTATTTAATGTTTTGAGAACTTTAGTCAAAGAACATTATATACAATCATCAATCGCTAGAGAGTTGCCAAGTTTAATTTTCAAAACATATTACTCAACTAATCACCGGTAATAAAAAAAAATAGAAAACAATCAAAAATAATGATAAAAGCAGTAAGTTTATTTTTATTAATTGGTTAATGCCAGTCAGTTCCAGTTATTTAATATAATTTAAAATGTCTGTTAACAACCCCAGCCAGCAGCTATCAGTACCTATATTACAAAATACTAATTTTTTTAAATAAAAATTAGAATAAAACAAATTATATTTATATTTATATTATAATCATATTTTATATGATATAATGATAATTGCCTCAAAAAAAAAAAGCTAAGGCAATGGCAACTGCCAATAATTACCAATTCTGTAAATAAGAGCATACTGTCAAATGTTTTTCACAAATTTTGGTTGCATGTATTGAAAACTTCATGTTATACCCTCTATTTGAAAAATGAAAACATTAAAGCTTATTGTATCAAGCTTTAAAGAAAAGAATAGAAGATGATGTAATTTTCAGTTAAATTTATGGATACATTTATATTGTGTGAATGATACGTAGATGTATTGAGAATGTGAGTGCACAAATAAATACATTAAGAAAGTCAAAATTATGTTTTTTTATTTCATTGTATACTGATCAATGATATTTGTAACTGTTCACTTTGTTCATTATCTTCAAACAATAATATGATATTTACTTTAGAACAAAAATGATTAATAAAAAAATACAAATTTATTTATTTATTTTTTGTAATAACAAGTAAATAATCTCTGTAAGACACAATACATTCTAAATAGTTGATAGAAATTGTAATTTCATCACGGTAAATAGGACCATAGGTATTGTCAAATTTTTTTCACAAATTTTCATTGTATATATTGAAAGCTTACTGTTAAGGGTATAATATTCTTGTTTCAAAATGAAATGGATCAAGAGATCTAAATTAAATGTTCAATAAATTAATCTGAGTGATTGAATTACTTTTTAATTCACTTTACACTGCATTATTACAGTGTGCATGATGCATATGAATTAATTTAAATGTTTTTGGCATTGAAAATAATGTTATTTTGTTGATTCATTTCACAATGTGTTAAAGAGTAAAAATTACAATGACGACAGAAATATAACAGATTTTAAGTGTTCTAGATTAAATAACAATATAATGTGGTAAGTGGTAACTATCTTCAACCCAATCAGTAGCCTGCATAAGCTTCTCTGTCATCTTGTTTGAACACCATATCTGCAATGTAAGTAAATGAATTAAGATGACGCTTTACATTTAAATTCTTGTAATCAATTGAAATAAGTATAATTTCTTTAAAACTAAATATAATATGATTTTTAAAAATACGCATGTACTACATTGAAAATGTCTTTTGTTACAATACATTCATTATAAACTACATAATATATTTATAATAGACAATTACATAACATGATGAAACGTTATCAAGAATTTACATTTGAATTTATGAATACATTTATATTGTGTGTACAGTACGTAGATGTATTGAAAATGTGGGTGCACATAAAAATATTAATGAAGTCAAAATTATGTATACTTTTATTTCATAGTATACCGATCAATAATATGATATTTACTTAAGAACAAAAAAGATTAATAAAAAAATAATAATATATTTATACATTTTTTTAATAACAGATAAAATAATCTCTGTAAGTACGACTCATTATGTTCTCAATAATTGATAGAAATTGTAATTTCAAAACGGTAAATAAGAGTATTTTTTTTCACAAATTTTGGTTGTATGTATTAAAAGCTTACTGTTAAGGGTATAATATTCTTGTTTCAAAATGAAATAGATCGATAGATCTAAATTAATATATATGCACGCACTTACCCACCTAATTGTAGAGCAAAAAAGTGCTTTAGGTATATTGATAAAATATGGTTAAAATTGTAGGTATTAGGGGTTATTTAAAAACCTAAGTGAGCCAAAATATAGGTATTTAAATGGTACTTAATACTAACAGTAGTTATGAGTTTTCTTTGCACTAAGGTGAACAATAATAATTGTATGCTTAAGTGGCTTACACACTAGGCGACTAATCAAGAGCATTCCTATCTACAGAATTGCAAAGTTAATTTCACAAAATAAAATGCATTTAAATTTGACAATTAAAGTGTCTAGTGAGTAAGCCACTTGAGTTGACCATAAAGAACACAAAGCCTCGGACAAAAAAATTACGAATTTGAGAGTAGGACAAATGGCACTAATTCTGCCTGCTCGTGCAATTAATAAATGTGCTTATATTCAATTAGCACTGTAATTAACACCTGTATTGTATTTTCATATTATTTTACATAACTATAAGGAGAAGTAGCACAATTGTGTACCTAATTAAATTTTTGAATATAAACTGTCAAATTGTAGCACAATACTATTATATAGGTATTTACATATCATAAGGATAATTCGAACGACCATAGACAGACAGTTTTTAAACAATTGTGAGCTGACCTCAGCATAGTCATATTATGTGTGTTCGTTTGATAAATACATATTACACACAAGTTGTCGTTAGCCAATTCCAAGCTTACCTTCACAATATCCTGCGATAAGCCTGCACGACTCGTAGCAACAACGGAGGCATTCGGCTGTGTAGTAGGAGTTAACGGAGGCGGCGGCGGTGGGCGCGAAATACGTTACGCCGTTAACCGAGACGAAGCGTCGCGGACCAAAACTGCACCTGTCCGTGTATATAAGCACGCACCACTGACACGCGTAGTCCGGGCAAAACTGGCGCCAACCCCGGATAGACGTGCAAACACAGACCGAACTGTGTGACCACAGCGAAGGCGGCGCGACGGCAAAGGCAAAAGCGAATGGCTCGACCGAAACAGAGGATAACCGTACACGGGTTTAACAGGGGATCGCTATTAACCGGCCGTTAACCGGGCGGCGGGCGAACGACGCCTTTGCAAGGCGACGGAGATTAGAGAATACAACAGCGTCAACAACGTCAACAACTTACTGGTAACGAGCAATGACGTGATAAACTGATTATGGCAGAAGAACTCGGTTGGATCGACAGAATATCTAAAACGTTTTATATAGAATAGTTGTAGGTCAGCAGGCTGCGGTTTGATCGCCGCCGCGGTAGATAAATCTCAAACGGTCCATGTCATCGGTAAAAGTTATGGGTACGTACCGATGGACTCATCGAGTCCCTGGTGTAAATATGTTTGTAGTGTATTTTTCATCTCAGAAATTAAATGATTGATTTTAATAAAAAGTGGGTTAAACCCTCCTAAACCCTCTCCCGCATTAACGTCCGAGCCGACCCCTCCGACAATTTACGGCACGTCGTTTGAACTTTGAAGCAATAATGTTTGATGTTTGAATATAATCGTACCTAATTCGTGGTTACCGACTATCGTATCAGTTTATGAAAATATATTTTTGGGGTTTCGTTGTGGTTGTAATCGATGCAATCGTAATCGAAGATAACGATATTCGTGGTGTACAGTTATCGTATTCGGACTTATCACTCGTCGTGGTAATGGTGACATCCCTACATTATTATGCCTTGTCGCTTTCATTTGTCGGGAAAGGAGTAGAGGCAAAGATTACATTTCAAATGATCAGCTGCCGCGCCCCATGTCAGAATACACACAGGTGTATTCACCTTGTAAGCAACATAAACTCCGCCCTGTTGCTGTCACGCGGACCTGTTGGTGAACGACTCGACGTCAGCGATGAAGCGGCGCGGCGGCGGCAAGTTTGAACAATATTATGGGCGCCTGATGCTTATTGTTTTTCCACGTTATTATAATCTCAGACGGTTGTCGACTTACACCGGGCACGTTTGACCGTCAAGTGAAAACTAGACAATGCTGGGTTGCCGTATCGTCGTGGATAGCGCTTTGATCGATTGGATTTTTCATGCACTCATCAGACCTATGTATATAGGCTGGCGACAAATAAACATACTTCTGTAATAGGAGTCCAGTCTTGATTTCGAGTATAAATCTACTTTACGGACTTCATGCTCTTATTTCAATTTTTTTCAAAATGTGTGTCTCAAGGCACTGAATTTGAACACGTTTGAAAAAAATTGTCGCTATTTTTTAACACGGAAGTCAATCGGAAAAAACCGGAAAACAATTATTTTTTTTAAATATACGGTATCGTGGTATCCTAAAAAGATCTAATTGGTATCGAAAAATTACTTTTTGACTATTATTTTTTTTTTTAATCGGGGAATGTTTTAGTCTCAAACAGTCCGAACGACACGAACGCTTTTGTGACGCAGCTATCGATATTTTAGGCATTATATATTTATATTATACATTATACTGGCGGAATGTCTTGTATGTCTATATTTTTATCTATTTGTATTTTGTATTTTGTATTTTATTCTCATTTTATTGCGATATTTGAAAGATTAAATCGAATGAAAGTATTTGGGTACCAGGCAGCGTGAACATATCAGTCTATAATAAGTTTATATTTACTATTTTAAAAGTTAGGTGTATATCAAGGCTTTACAAATGCCCAGTGGCGTATTTTCAATTTTTTTATGGGGGGGGGGGGCTA